CATAGCAGATCAAGCTTTTCAGTCCTATGGGAAACTAACAAGCACCCAGGCATCTACTTGAGCAGGTGCCGCCTGTCAGCCAGGAAGACGAGCCTGGTGCCGCATGTTTATCTGTGATTCACTTATGAGCTCTACATGCACCTACTGAACATGGGTGACTCTGATATTTCTTACAATGTTCCCACCCCCCAGGGGTGCACACAACCTAATTCAGCCTATGAGTCAGCACTCAATAAAAAGAGCTTTCCATTTTCCTTAGAATTTGTTAGGCAGCCAATGTTCTGTGGTAAGTGCAGACTCTTAATACTGGTAGGTACACGGAACTTTCCTAAACAAAACCAGAAATTACAATCCTAGAATTGGGTCTCTCTCGCCTAGCCAGCCCTTATGGGACCTCAGCTTTTTCCAGTCAGAGAGCCACTTAAAATTGGACATGTCCGTTGCTCCCTGGTTGCTGTGACAAAACACTAACCAAATGCAACCCAAGGAAAGGTTTACTTCACCTTACAGTCCGCCATGGAGGGAAGGCAAGGTGGAACCCGGGACCCACGTGGAAAACAGGAACGGAGACTGCCAACTGGCTTGCTTCCAAGCTCTCATTCTGTTCCCTTATACAGCCCAGGCCCACTTGGCTCCGCCCAGTGGGCTGGGTCCTTTTAGATAAATTAGCAATCAAGAAAATATCCCAGCACTCAGAAGCAGGGCGAGGTGGATCCTGGCAAACATGGCCTACATAATGAGTTTCCAGACCGTTTGGAGCTACACAGTGAGACTCCCATCTCCAAAGAAGAAGAAAAAAAAAAAAGAATTGTCCTTATAGACATGCTCACAGGCCGTTATTGACAGCAGCACTTCTTCAGTAAAGACCAAAGATGTGACAAAGCACAAATATCCAGACCATTTACCCCTAGGAAGCATAACCTAGAGGGGAGGATCTACAGCAGAAATGACTGACAAACTGAATGAGAGAGAATGGAGAGAAGCATTTAAGATGCAGGCTGGAGAGATGGCTCAGAGGTTAAGAGCTTTTCCAGAGGTCCTGAGTTCAATTCCTAGCAACCACATGGTGGCTCACAACCGTCTATAATGAGATCTGGTGCCCTCTTCTGGCCTGCAGGCATATATGTAGGCAGAACACTATATACATGATAAATAAAACCTAGAAAAAAAGAGAACCTGTCTCTTTAAAAAAGAAACAAAATGCTCTGCAGTGAAGGTGAGATCAAGCCCTCCTAAACAAGACGTGTGGTGCTCTAGCTCAGCCTCCAGGTGAATTTCTGAGCCAGTGTGCTAATCTTTATCAAGAAAGATTGCAGACTACTACACCCCCTAAAAAAGCACTAGTGGCAAGAGACCACCCAGCCATAAAACACCAAATTGTATTCCACTTACCAAAAGTTAACACAAATTTACTCAAACTCAGCCACAACTCAATGGAGCAACTAAAGCTTTGTGTTTAGTCACTTTATAAATATAAAAAGAATATGGCGGGGCATTGGTGGCACATGCCTTTAATCCCAGCACTCGGGAGGCAGAGGCAGGCGGGTCTCTGTGAGTTTGAGGCCAGCCTGGTCTCCAGAGCGAGTACTAGGATAGGCTCCAAAGCTACACAGAGAAACCCTGTCTCAAAAAACAGAAACAAAAAAGAAGCAAAGATTATGTAGACCTGCCTCCGCATCAATAAGGCAAGCAAAGAGCATTAAAAATCAGAAATCAGCCAGGAGGAGGTGGCACTCGCCCTTTTTTTTCCCCTGGGGTAGGTGTTAAGACAGGGTTTCTCTATGACTTTGGAGGCACCACCACCGCCCAGCAGCACTCACCTTTAATCTCAACACTCAGGAGACAGAGGCAGGTGGATCTCTGTGAGTTTGAGGCCAGCCTGGTCTACAGAGCAAGTTCTAGGACAGTGAGGGCTACACAGGGAAACCCTGTCTTGAAAAACCAAAGCCAAAACTAACAAAAATAATTAGAACTCTTTCAATCTCAAGAGAACATATTCAAATTTTTGATATGTATTTATTTGTACATGAGAAAAATACATTGAACATAAAGAACCAAGTATAAGTGCCTTACTGCCAATAGTCTTGTGGCCTTGTCTGTGACCACACCACATACTGCACTGACCTCCTTCCAACCAGAGTTCATCCGATGGCAGCCACTCACTCAAAGCCAGCACTCTGCGCCTTACAAGTTTGTGGCCTTATCTACATTATAATTGATCTTAGGGACTTCGGGGACCCAAAGGTAATTATATATACATACATATATGTATAATTCTGCTTTATTGCACGGGGTCACAATATGTAGCAAGTGATTATATGGCCAACCACAAGATGGATGTTGATAGTCACACACATCTGTCTCTTACCACAAATGAAACAAGATAACTTGCCACCATGCAAAGGCTGTGTTGGACTGGTGCAGTCCTGAAGGTTCACAGCACTCAAGTGTGTTAAATGCAAAACTCGTGTGTCTGATGGCATCAGATAAGATGCACAGGACACAAGTGTCCCGTACTCATGAGCCACCTGTGCCACACATGTAACAGAAAGGCCACTTTAAAGCTTTTCAGAGTTCTTTAATCAGGTTTGCCTGTAAAAAATATCGCCACACTAGTTAGAATCTATTAATTACATACCAGCATAAAAGTTCAGACAAAGTGGGTTACAAATTATGAATTTTTTTGTCAAGCTTAAATTTATAGGAGACAAAGCAATCTCTGTAATATACTGCAGTTCAGTCTTCAAGAGCTCGAAGAGTGACAAAAATGCTTAAAAGTTAAAAATCATTAAAAAGTTTCTAATTGTTTTAAAACACACAATATTGAGACAGCAAAAGCCAAAGCAGTACCCTTATAATCCTCATGTGCTTCCTAGGAGTGCTTTACAGCTTAAGCCTCTACTACCTGCGTGGAGTGTAAAGAAAACAAGCCTATCACTGAAGACCAATGAAGCTCATGCCCAGAGCCAAGGTAGAAGAAGCCCTGTAACTTAATCCCTGATTAACTCACCCGCCCCATGCTGTGGGTGCTCACGCTGTCATCTTTCATTTGTGAGAGTTCTTCCCCTTCAAATTTTAACTGAAGCCACAGTACTACTAAAATTTATCTGGGTCAAATTCTCAAGTCCTCACACCTGCATGTCTGCACTGCACTGCACTGCACAAAATCTTCCTTCCATCAGAGTTGCTCTGTTACTGCCACCCCAATGCTTACTATGCTCCCAACCTTCACAGCTGGAAGAAAGTTTATTTTACCAGCTTTAGTGTAGTTACAGATAAACAGCTGTTTTGGATTACCTGCCCCAGAAACTTCTAGCAAACTCCAGTTGAGGGTCGGATTTCAGTTTGTAGATATGAGCACATACTTGTCCGCAATTACTCAGAGAGATGAAAATCTCTAAGAAACCTTTAAAGACTGGAGATGCCAGGTACAGCAGCTCATGCCTTTAATTAATCCTAGCATTCAGAAGGCAGAGCCAGGTGAACCTTTGTAAGTTCAAGACCAGCCTGGACTATATGTTGAGATCCTGTCTCAAAAACAAAACTGGGGGAGGCTGGAGTGTTGCTCAGTGGGTAGCGCTTGCCTAGGATATGCAAGACCCTGGGTTCAATCACTAGCACCATGGAAAGAAAAAAGACAAGCTAACTCTCTCATGACAAATCCTGGAAAACAAGTTAACTATCTAGTGTTTACAGACAACTTTTTAAAGATTCATAAACTACTTCTCCAGAATGCATTTATTTCAGTTGGATTTTAAGTCATGTTACATTTACCCAGAATATAACTCTGTGATTCCTTGGCCCCGACTGTGCCAGTTAAACCCTACCTGAGCTCCAGGAATCAGATACTCTCAGTTAGACCAGACCCCCTTGCGCTGTCCTAGTGGCTCCTAGAATGTCAGAGCCCTGAAGAAGTCTCTTTGCAAAGAAATAGGAGAACAAGCACTGGAAAAACCTGTCCTCCACTTCGCACCTCGCTATGCAGCACTGAGAAACCAAGAAAAAAAAAAACCTGGAATTGTATTAATAGACTCCCAAAATAAGACTTTATGGAAGAGTTTATTTTTTTTTTTAAGTCTAGTATCAGAGAATAGGATGACGAACATGACAGTTACTACTCACAAGGGACAATGCCCCGACTGGTCAGCTACACTGGCACCAGTAGCACAAAGAAGCCAAGCAAAAACAGTAGATAGTGCAGTGAACAGCTTAACAGGATGAAGCCCATGACAGAAGCTAACTAGGTCACCCTATCTTTTGGCAATGAATTCAGTAAAAAAGCACAAGGACATTCTGGAAGGCTTTAAAGTCATATTCAGAATTAAATAGAAAATGTTCAAAGCTGAACAGTGAAATGGAAGCTTCCATTAGCTGCTCAATAAAAGGAGTTTGGATAATAACTATCTCAACAGCTAACTCCAACAATTCATCATGGAACTATATAGCTAAGACACTGACTTCCGTCTGCTCTCCTCCAGTCCACCATCAACGCTTGGGGTTAATGAAGGTGACCCTCCTATGAGGTGGGTCTCTAAGCAATAAATGAGGTGACAAAGTGAGCCTGAGAAGCCCTGGGATAGGAACACATGCTCTGGCTGCTGATGCCACTGTCTCTGTAAGAAGGCCTAGCAACCGCTTCCGGGAGGAAAAGGAATCTATCTTGGCTGACAGCTGCCCTGAAAAGGTCATCAGATACACGGCTAGTTACCAAGTAACAGCCTAAAGCTCTTGAGTAATGATCAAACCAAAACCCTGACATCTGCCATTGAAACCTTTTATTGTTTTTGTCAATGTTTTGTCTGTAATTTATTATAGCCTGGACTTAATGACACCAACCTATATTTAAGCCAATTAGGAGCAAAGCCAAATTGCATTCTCTTTAGGTCTAGTTGGTCAAGAATAACATTTCATGTGGTGACCTCATCATACAATCTTCAACAAAAACTCATAAGTTGCATTGATTATTCCCCAGGAGATGAGAGAGCGATGGTAATTGAGATGGGCGCCTCTGAAAAGATTGATCAGATTCCTGTCCCGTTCTACCCAGATTGTCTTGAAGACCATGGGAAGAGACTGGAATGGCCCACCAATCTGAGATTGTATTCGGGCTTTCACAACATTAATCGGGAAGCTTAAGAACCCCAGCATGGCACCCAGCACACCTCCACAGATAAAGTCATTGACCAAATGCGCACCATTCGTAGTGGCAGTAGGCAGATGCTCCTTAATTGGCCCTCGAAGGCCAAAAAAAAGGACATTGCTGAATCCATTCCGGAAAAGGATAGGTACCAAGCCTCGGTAATACTCTGCAATTCCATGGCATCTCAGGGCCCG